TCATCATGGCGTATGTACAGAGATCTCCATGGCGATCTCGGGACAGAACATATTTTAGTAACCTGTGGGTGTCTCGCCGTGGCGATCCCGTACACCCGTGAAGATCCGGGTTATAATATGTCTTTAACAACCTATGCTTGTCGTAAGAGGCGACGTACGGTCAGGTTCGTTGACTTGGTTGATGCATGTCATCGTATCCCAATTGCGTAGGTCGCTGCTCATTATGTCAATCAGTGGATTGTCAGGTCTAGGCTCGATTATTTACAGACCGCCGTCATACAGCTGGAATAATGCTGAGTGCGGCATTAAACTAGAAACAAACAAAAACAAACAAACCAGGGATTGATCAAGCTATTACCAAGGGTTTAACAACAAACAAACAAACGATTCCGGTACATAATGGCGTTTAGTCCCCATGTTGTCCCTGCATGTTGATTCTTGGATTCCAATCCCTAGTTGCAGACTCTCAAACAATCAGGGGACCTGGGTGGCACAGCGGTGTAGCGCCCCGCCACTCACTGCTGGTTTGAATCCCAGATTCTTGGTTTGACAGGGCTATGCCTGTACTCTTTGAATTTTAAGTGGCAGCTGTCCGAGATCTGCAACAATATAAACTGTCCTCTCCATCAAGCTGCTAAATCTGCATTACTGATAAAGCGGCATTAAACCTAACTCACTCAAATATGTTCCTTCCAACACAGCTTGGAGGTTGTGGTTCAGTGAGTGAGTGAGTTACAAGTTCAGACCATCTTCGTCCTCGACAAGTTATGGAATGATATCTCTTCACCTTCCATCAATCACAGTGTTGCTATAAAGTACCGGCCAAACAAAGCATAGACCCATGTTCGACGGTGGCTAACAATGAAACAAACAAAAAATGGTTCTCAATGGTGACGTTTTTGATACGGGTATGATACTTGTGTTTTGGACGTTATGTTTGCAGTGTTTCGGCGACTGTTTTTAGCTTAACAACGTTTGTAATGTTTTGGTCAAATACAACTTTCAAGTGGAACCTTCTTTTGCCCGGCAGTATAGTTTACATGACGCACCTCACTGTAACGCTATCCTATATGGCGCACCTCACTGTAACGCTATCCTGTTTGTTATTTCAATTAACTATGGATTTTTCTGGCGGTTGAAAACAACACGTCCTTGATATCAATTTGGGAGTAAATTTGTCATTAATGCCACATGAAATCTTATTATAATGCATATGTGACACAATGATATATGTATAAATGAAATACACTGAAAACATGTAATGCTTAAGGCGTCACAGAATTATGTAACTGCTCTTACCTAAGTAAATGATGCAGGTAAAGAAAACAGTCCATCGATCATATGGCCTGATAGCATCCACTGATGAAGTAATTTGTTGCAAACTCAGACACATGCTTTCGAAGAGATGAGATATAATCCATATGACGTCAATCCTGGAATCAGAAGCAGATATATTTTTTTATTTTGGTGGAACTAATTGGGACAGATGCACAACGTTTGAACATTGTCGGCAGACAACTTGTGATTTAACTTGGGACACACTTGACGTGAAGACTGTAGAACAGAGATGCGTGTCTGTGTGTGTCTGTATCTGTTAGTGTGTCTTTCTGTTTCTTCGTGTCTGTCTTTCTGTCTATGTCTGTATGTGTCTGTCTGTATATGTCTGTCTGTATGTCTGTATCTGCCTGTATGTCTGTGTCTGTCTGTATGTGTATGTCTGTGTCTGTCTGTATGTGTATGTCTGTGTATCTGTATGTATGTCTGTGTATCTGTATGTCTGTCTGTGTCTGTCTGTATGTGTCTGTCTGTGTATCTGTATGTCTGTCTCTGTCTGTATGTCTGTGTCTGTATGTGTCTGCCTGTATGTGTCTGTATGTCTGTGTCTGTCTGCATGTGTCATGATGTCTGTGTCTGTATGTGTCTCTCTTTTCGCCTGTATGTGTGTCTGCCTGTATGTCTGTGTCTGTCTGTATGTGTCATTGTCTGTGTCCGTCTGTATGTGTCTGTATGTCTGTCTGTCTGTCTGTGCCTGTATGTGCCTGTCTGTGCCTGTATGTCTGTGTCTGTCTGTGTCTATGAAGCACCTATGAACGTCTGCTAGAAAATAACAAACCCCCTTTCACTGACAGAAATCTATACATAATTCAATGAAGTGGATCCGCTTTCTGGAACTTCTGATCAAGACCTCTTTCATGGACTTACATACAAAATCTAGTTCCAGTTTATGTTATTTCTTCCTGTTTATTTGTAATCTGTGTAAGTCACGAAATTGGGAACTGAACCTGCGTCAGTGAAGTTGACACTGTACCCACTGAGCTACCCCGCCACAGCTGGTACACATGAACCATTCGACTCATACTGATTGTCAGTGTCAGATCCCCACCCTACACTTTTGTCAGAATTGAACCTAAACCTCCCTGGTAGCTGGGTTAAACACCTACACTTTTGTCAGAATTGAACCTAAACCTCCCCGGTAGCTGGGTTAAACACCTACACTTTTGTCAGAACTGAACCTCCACCTCCCCAGTAGCTGGGTTAAACACCTACACTTTTGTCAGAACTGAACCTCCACCTCCCCAGTAGCTGGGTTAAACACCTACAGTGTTGACAGAATTGAACCTAAACCTCCCCGGTAGCTAGACCGCCTCCGTGGTCTTGTGGTAGAGCGTCCGCCCGGAGAGCGGAAGGTCCAGGGTTCGATCCCGGGCCGCGTCATACAAAAAGACGTTAAAAGATTGTACTTGTTGTTACCCTGTCTGGCGCTCGGTATTAAGGGGCTAAAACAAGGACTGGTCGGCTCGGAGTCAGTATACTGTGTCTGAGTGGGGTATTCATGTTAAACTGCGGCATGGTATCTCAGTGAGCTAGCACTATAAATCGGCATCAGTCCGGACTAGTACAAGCAGCCACACACACACATACACGTGCATGCACGTCGCTATATAAGTGCAATAATCTTGGACGCGACGTTAAACCGAATTTCACCTCACCTCACCTCCCCGGTAGCTGGGTTAAACACCTACACTTTTGTCAGAACTGAACCTCCACCTCCCAAGTAGCTGTGTTAAACACCTACACTTTTGTCAGAACTGAACCTCCACCTCCCCAGTAGCTGTGTTAAACACCAACACTTTTGTCAAAACTGAACCTCCACCTCCCCAGTAGCTGTGTTAAACACCTACACTTTTGTCAGAATTGAACCTAAACCTCCCCGGTAGCTGGGTTAAACACCTACACTATTGTCAGAACTGAACCTCCACCTCCCCAGTAGCTGTGTTAAACACCTACACTTTTGTCAGAACTGAACCTCCACCTCCCCAGTAGCTGTGTTAAACACCTACACTATTGTCAGAACTGAACCTCCACCTCCCCAGTAGCTGTGTTAAACACCTACACTATTGTCAGAACTGAACCTCCACCTCCCCAGTAGCTGGGTTAAACATCAACAGTTTTGTCAGAATTAAACCGACGGAGTTAATTAACATCTACCATGTTACACGTGTATATTGTGGTAGGGCTAAACAGCTGTGATTCGGCAGCATGTAGATTGATGGAGCCTGGTGATTACCGTTATGTAACGATATGCACTCAATCGCGTAATGTCTAATTATTATTTTGTGCCTCTTTTTATTTAAACATCGGCATCAAAGGGATTTTGCGAATTAGAGGAATAACTCAATAGATAAGGCTCTTAAACATTATCATATTTTCGCTTTATTCTCAATGGCTCCCTCATATTTTAAATTTTGCATAACCGAGAGCACCAAGGGCAACGTTCTGCGTGCTGATGGCGACGACCAGACCCGCAGCTGTAGTTCCGGGTCACAAGATGGGGGATGCAATATTAGAGCCAGGTGATGAGATTGGTTGTGAAGAAGCCTGGATGCTATCATCCTCACGAGTAGAGGTGATGGGTGAAGTATACAAACACACCCGCAACAGTGTCATGTTTATCACAGGAGGTGCAGTTTCTGTGCACCAGCATCGAACTAGAGATTTCACTGAGGCAGTCCACGTTTTTACCATAGACTGTGGGTTGGTGGGTTTCAGGTTGAACACCGCTTTTAGTAATATTCCCGCAATATCATGTCGGGGGACACCAGAAATGGGCTTCACCCATTGTACCCATGTGGGGAGCTGAACTCGGGGCTTGCCCCAACTAACGTTTCGCCAGTAATGTAACGGTATGTATTTTGAAGAATTTCTCAAAAATTGCATCTACAAAATCTCACGCTTATGACTTATTGGTAGAATAGGTCTTCACTAACCCATGATTGCCGTAAAAGGTGACTCTGCTTATCGTTTGAGGCGACAAACGGGATCGGGTGGTCAGGCTTGCTGACTTGGTTGATGCATGTCTTCATAGATGCGTAGATCGATGCTCAATCACCGTATTGTCTGGTACAGACTCGAGTATTTACAGACCACCGCCATATAGCTGGAATATTGATGAGTGCAGCTTTGGACAACAAACAAACAAACAAACTAAATATCCAACCTTGGCCTGCAGCCACCGTTCAGGACGGCGGCTTCTCCATTCGTCAACCAATAAGGGTTAAACTATGGAATCCTGCCAATGCCTAGAATGTCACGTTGTCGCACTTTGGTTAATCAGAGACCATATACTAGTATCGGTATATAGTCTCTGGGTTAATGTTGTCCTTTCTAAGATTCCATATTAAATACCATGTTCTAATTGTCGCATATTTTCATCTGACAAGCTTCTGACGATTTTAGGATATTTCAGGAAGCATGCTGTTATTGTGACCCTGCACACACGCGAGACTTTCCAACGGTATACAGTGGACACACATTCAAGTAGGTAATAGAAGAAAATCGCATTTTTAAGTTACAATTCTAAAGTTTAAAAGTCCTCACACAAGCATAACTTTCCACAAATGTTTTTTGACATATAGAAATTATCTTCTCCTAACATTACCACCAAATACTGTTATACTCGCTACAAGCTTCACACTACTGATTAGATAAGGGAACCTGTTTCCAATGTCATATTTACAGACAATTCTCAGTCCGTGAATCATGTCATTTCTCAGATCCCTCCTCGTCACGTGCATGGTGACAGCGAGCACGTGCAGATTACCGTTTGACTGGTGCTCCTCACCTCAGTGGGAGGCGCTTCAGGGAACACTGCGAGGAGTTTTCAAGGATGACATTCCCCACATGGAAGCGGTAGGCGAGACGTTGTTATGATTATGTCAGTCGTTCGCGGTATTGCTGGTACATGTGTCTCTACAAAGACGTTCTCACAGGAGAACATAGTCGGCTAAAGTAAACATTAGGCTATGACGTCTTCTAAGACATTTGTAGAATCTCATTCAGAGAATGTGTTGATATTGGTTTAACGCTACTTTGAACTGTATTTTAGTTAAATTACGTTTCAGCTTAATGTTTGAGGAAACGACGCATTTTATAGATATTTACCACTTTAGCTAAACTGGTATGGTGCTAACAAACCTTGGTTCTTGATCTGGGCGAATCTGGCAATGGAGTCCGGAAATAACGGGTCCTTGTACAGCTGAGGACCGCCTCCATGGTCTAATGGTACAGCGTCCGCCCGGTGAGCGGAAGGTCCGGGGTTCGATCCCTAGGTGCGTCATACCAAAAGACGTTAAAAGATGGTACTTGTTGTTACCCTGTCTGGCGCTCGGCATAAAGGGGCTAAAACAAGAACTGGTCGGCTCGGAGTCAGTATACTGTGTCTGAGTGGGGTATTCATGTTAAACTGCGGCATGGTATCTCAGTGTGCTAGCACAATAAATCGGTATCAGTCCGGACTAGTACAAGCAGCCACACACACACACACATACACGTGCATGAACGTCGCTATATTAGTGCAATAATCTTGGACGCGACGTTAAACCCCATTTCACCTCACCTTGTACAGCTGAGGGATGCAACAATCATAACTGATTTACACAAACCTATACATACTATTTGTTTGTTTGTTGTTTAACTCAGTACTCAGCACTATTCCAGTGACAATAGAGGCTTAAATAGTCGAGTGTGGACAGACAAACCAGGAACTGATATTTGAGCAAAGTCGCACTGCACAGACTGCCACACGCCTCCAGGGTCTATAGTTTTCTAACCCCAGAGCAACTTGAAGATATCGTACGACCTGAACCACTCGAAAATAGCGACCACACAACTCCAAGACGGAGATTCTCCTGAAGTCAAGAAGATCTATGATTACACACAGGTGAGTGATTGGTCAGATTATAGTGACTGCAAGTTTCATAGTGGATGACGTTACTTTAGTAAGCGTAGGATACACATGCCAACCTCCATCCTATCAAACTTTAATGCTTAGATTAACTGAGTGAATAAGTTGGGTTTAACGCCAACACTATTCCAGCTATATCACGGCGTGTCAGCTTTATGAGGGAGGAAAGCCCGAAGTTATGCAGGTCTCAGACGTTTACCACTTCGGTGAAATCCACAAGCACGGGTATGATGCTGACAAACCTAGAAACATAATCGGGGCGAACCGGGATTCGAACCCACAATCATAGGTTTCTGGCATGACCAAGGAGGCAACTCTGCACAGCGTATTGCGGCTCCTTAGACGACTGGGCCATCCGTGCCCCCCTAGATGAACTAAATAGGTATGTTGGTAAAAGTTAAGTTTCAGCGTACACGTATGTGTTTTTGTTTCAGAAAACGCTGTACGTCATTGAAAATAACGCCTGTAGAAGAGTGTTGCTGAATGAAACTTTCAGAAAAGCCTGCATCCCCCGTGAGTTCGTGTGCTTGTTTAAAGAGAGCGGATGTGTAATAGCGAATCTCACCGTTAAGACTTGTGTATCCTTTAACCGTGCCAGGATCAGTTAGATTTAGGTTTCGAATACTAGAAAGTCTCGAACCTTGCTATGTCCCCACCATATCCGCGAATGTGGGTTTCACCATTGTGGTAAACGTCTAAGACCTGTATCTTCGGGCTCCACTCGACTACAACAACGCTGTGTGGATACAAGAATTTCGGGGCTCCGAGGCCGGCATCAGTTACATCCTACAGACGACGTACGACCACATGCCGGTGTTTGAGACGATCTACGGAGACCGTGACGGAGGTGACTACGACACTGTAGACTATACAATTTCTACCTTGTAGTGGCTCAGAAGTCAAATTATAAATGAAACTTTAGAGGTATCTTGAGACTATGAAAACATTTCTTTAAAATAATTATTGAAGCTCTAGGCTTTTAGCACACACACACACGCACGCACGCACGCACGCACACACACGCACACACACTCATGTCATACAGTACTCTGACGCATTTAGCAGTAGGCTTAAATTTTATGAAATGTTGTGTGGCCTGTTAATGCATTCGTGCATTTCTTCGTGCCGTTGTATAATATATTTTGTAAAGGTAATTTTTTTTCTTACACATTAAACTCAAATTCTTTGCCATGCGTTTCTGTTTAAATACAATACAACCCAATAACAACGGGTTTAACCCGTAATCAAGCCCACGGCTTAACATGTGAATTCCCGATAGAAGCCATACCGAGACGCCATTGTGGCCACTCGATACTCAATGAAGTGGGCTTCTTCGACCTGTAGGGCGTCGTAGACCCTTGGATCAAAGGTCAACAAGTGCAGTTATGACACTTACAGTAAACAGGAGAACTAATAACTAGCTCTTTGTGTATACGTTTACCGATGACTCACAGTTCACAGTTTGACGGAGGTGATTGGCACGAAGTTTACAGAATGATATTTACATGGTATATAGACAGATTTACCTAAAAGCTACAAATAAACGAAACCACTGAAACAGTGTTATTTGTTACATGTTTACATTTATGCATACATATTCACAGCGACAAAATATATCAACAAGACTAGTATATGACAAGGGATGACTTCAACTTTCCGACAGTTAACCTTCCCTTGATATCGAGCAATATTCCAGCAGTTACAAACTTTGGTGTCTACGTATGAAGGACATTTCCAAATTTGACGCATCAGTGATAAAAATGATGCAATTTCCAATTTCGATTTTCCATATATGATCCCGTGTTTATTTCAAGTGAACAATTCACTTGCCTAATAGTATGCTTGTGTGTGTGGACGGTGCTACCGGTGGGGCAGGATACGCTCACCTTTTCGCGAACACCTGGTGTCACCACTCTTTGATAGTGATTCATAAACATATGCATATGAGCGTACGATGGACTCGGAGCAGAGATTTCTTCTAATTATGGACAGAATTTTTCGATTTAATCTTTTAATTAAACGTCTTATTTGCTCTGTTTGCAGGGTATGTATTCTCCAACTCTGCCTTCGTCAACACGACGTTAGGTATCAAGAACCCGGATGTGTTTACCCCGCCCCCTAGCTGCAAGGGAGCGAACTACGAGGTGAGATGGTTGTATTATAATAAGTTGAGGATATCAGTAAACGTTTACACAATCAGTGTTTTGCGATATTCAGCAGCCTTGTGAAGCATGCTGAAGGCCCGGGTTCGATTCCCTACATGGGAACAATATGTGAAGCCCATCTCTGGTGTCCCCCGCTGTGATATTGCTGGAATATTGCTAAAAGCAGTAAAACCGTTGTCATTTACTCACTCATCCTAGCCCTTGTCAACCTGAAGCCTTGAACGCTGTTTGTTCTGTGTCTTCCCCACGTGTAAAGTTTGAGCCCCGTGAAGATCCGGGGTAGAATAGGTCTTCACTAACCAATGCTTCCCTAAAAGCCGACTATGCATGTTAGAGGCGACTAGCGGGATCGGGTGGTCAGGCTCGCTGACTTGGTTGATGCATGGCATCGTATCCCAATTGTGTAGATCGATGGTCATGATGTAAATCACTGGATTGTCTGGTCCAGACTCGATTATTTACAGACCGCCGTCATATAGCTGGAATATTGCTGAGTGCGGCGTAAAACAAGAAACAAATGTAATGTATGACCTGCAGCACGTCCATTAAGGCCAGAGAGTCAGACACCCTGGGTGGACCGGAACACTGGCGGAAACAGGAAACAAGTTCACTGGTAATAAATACTTGGCGTATGGAAGATATAAATTAACACCTGAGTTAGCAGATGAGTAAAATGTTGTACTATTGACCAAAGTCCACGTTTATGTTCATAGAATTCTTCTACAGTACACTACGTTTATAACGAACACGTTTATAACGAACTGGTGAATAAAAGGAGCTGTATTTTTGTGCTAACCATTTGCTGTATATATGTTGTATACATGTTTATAACGAACTACTCGTAAGTTTGGGTACACCAAAACAAGTGACTTGAATTGTGTGTCCGAGAGATAACTGTTCATAATATGTTTTTCAGCCTCCTGTTTCAAGAAGACTTGGGTTTATGACGTTCTGACGTTCTGAGATATTGATCGTATAATTGCCTTAGAGACTTGTGCAAGTCTAATACCAGATACATTTCATCCAATATACTATGTATGTGTAAGTATGCATGTACGCATTAACCTCTTAGCGTCTCTGTGACCGGTATGCCAATGTGTTACTTTAAGTTCATAGAACATATATATGCTAATTTAATATTTTACTTTGACAATGTATATTTGAAAAAGAATTGTTTACACCTGACCGACCGTTCAGCATTTTGAGTGTGTCACCGTGCGTGCGTGGTCGGGGATTAGAGGGGGCATTAGGATTTTTTTTTTATGGAAATACGATATTTTTTCAGTCTAAACCTTCAGGGCATCCAGCGTACAATTTATTTCGTTTGACATTTTGTTTTGAGTATGAACCGAATCCCTCCAAGAATATCAAATGGTCGGTTAGTTACGTCTTCATTTGGGATGCGACAGAATAGCACAGTTTTCTCGGAATTAATAACTGCTTGGCAAATTATCTTCCAGGTTCATGACTAGTGTGACTGTTACCTAACATGTATTTGTATGAAATGTATATGCTTCAAGTTAATCGTAATGACGTCAAACAATTTGTATGACGTCATCGTGACATCAGAGTATGGTATCAGATATCACGTAACGACGGTGTACCCTGGCTATGCGCATCGCCACCAGCAAGCACTGCTCAAACTTTGAGGGCGGATGTCGGATATATAGCCGTTTGGAACTCGCGGCTAATTATATGGTTTAAAGGTGCACGTGCTGAATGGTGCACATGCCAGACACCAGAAGGTCGCAGGGGTCAGTACGGAACTGTGTTTCTGTTGATGACCACGCGATGTAGGGCTCCTTAGAAACAGGCACGTTTGTGTTTGATGCTGGGTGGTGTTTGTTGATATTTATACCTCGAATGGAGGATTGGTTTTGCCTGGAGGACGTTATGTGAATATTTCTTCGTCGTAGGGAGAAAATGCGAATTCTTAACAAGCTGTAGTATCGATAGCAAATGGCGCCTCTCATCAGGAGGCCATACTGTACTTGATCTTTTCTATAGGGTCTGGATGTTTAACAAAGCTCTGGTTCAAAGGTTGAATGGCATTACATGCAATAGAGAAATCACGAGGATCTGCTGATTCCTGGTTCTACTACCGGAATCAACATATTCGAGTGGTTCTGTTACTTAAACCGTGATATGGTTGATGTTTAATTTCTGTATACGTTTGCTTAATGATTACAGTTGCATCTGTTTCACGTGTTTAAAATGCCAGTCAGAATTGCGTGTAAATTCCTGGCTCAGAATCAATTGCAAGAACATTAGCGTGACGTAGTCGTTGATGGTTTAAACTTAGTGAATTTAATTTGAAAATGGTCTTTTCATCCTGACTTATCGTGACAGACATTAAGACTAAAAGGTGACGGATGGAATTGTTTGTTTAACTCGCATTTTTTATTCGAGTAGTTAGAAGATTAATAAGACGCCATTGGAAACGGTGCTATGAGACTGACATGCGCTATTTTATCAGACACAGGTTATACCCAAACATACCTCTATGAATTAAAAACTGTTAAACAAAAATACATGAATATTAAATTTTGTGAAAATGGCATCATTGTCGATGTTTTCTTTACACAACAAAACGAACAAGTAAAAAGGAAACGAGTTGCTTTGTTTGACACCCGGTGTGAGTGACAAGGTGACAACACGCCGCGAATATTGACGACTGACCTGTTTGACCTTGACGTAGATGCAGACGACATAATACTATAGTGACGGACTTCTTTTTGGCGGGAATCACAGACCACGTCTGAAGATGTTGACACGAGCTGAACCGGTCGCAGACGACAACACATTTCAATCTGATTACCTTCAATCACATGAAACCAGTTAGTGTCCCCTACAACCATTGAAGTGCAAAAGATCTGGATTAGTGTACAATTAACATAGTCGCTTGGGTTGCTGAAGACCTATTCTACCCCGGAATCTTCACGGGTCTCTGACGTCCATGAAGCCCATAAGGTAACAGCCTACATCACCTCCATGTGCCTTCAGCTTCAATGTGCCGTGAAGGTCCGGCTTAGAATAAATCTTCAGCAACCCAAGCGACTATGCTTGTCGTTAGTGGCGACTAACTAGATCGGGTGGTCAGGCTCGCTGACTTGGTTAATGCATGTCATCGTATTCCAAATGCGTAGATCGATGCCCATGATGTCATTCACTGGATTGTCTGGTCCAGACTCGGTTATTTCCAGACCGCCGTCATATAGCTGGAATATTGCTGACTGGGGCGTTAAACAACAAACAGACAAAATTGTACGGTCTATCATATCGCCATTAACATTTTCACGTTATTCTTCCCGTTTGATAAATTATGGTATCACAAAACCGAAGAACTTATTTTAATAATTACGTGCTAAATAAAGGGGGTAAGAACAGGCGATTTACCTCTCCCAACAATGTCATAATGTGTGTCAAACGTGCTTGCCGCATGCATGACCCAAGGTCACCTTGATATCCAGCCCGACGATGAGGGAATGTCTCAAAGACATTTAAACAAATTAAAATGACTTTTGAAAGGAACTTTGATTTGAACCACCTTTGTATATGAAAACTTTATATTACACGAGCAGCTGAAAGCCAGACGATTGCATAAGTCGTCGGAAAATCCGTGTTCAATGTCTATGTTATCGTAGTATTAAAATCAATAATGAAAGGTGGAATGACATTTCTCTATTTCGCTTGTAAAAACTGTCTAGTTTTTCTTTCTCCTTTGGATTTCGGATGGCCCCTTTGGTTCGTCATCTGCAGGTTTTAAACGCTTATCATGGGAGATAATTCAGAATAACGTCCTTCGAGATGTGCTTGTTGCATGCAATGTTCTCTTTGTGAAACAATGAACAAATATCAAGGGTGTTTTGCATTTCTGATTCACGTCAATATAATTGTCCAAGACAGAATTGATGGTTGATGACAGAAGATACGCAGTGATATAACTTGTAAAAGTCAAACTCAACTCACTCACTCACACGGCCACATTTCGATGCCAGTGTGCCCCTCAACGTCAACTACATCTACAACTACATCGAGGTACCTACCACGTTGCATCTACTGAATGTTGATCGAGGTGAAGTCACTGTGTTACGTTTCATATTTGATGTTTGAGTCGCGAACCACCTCTGGCCTTGAGTGAGTGAGTTGGGTTTAACGCCGCTTTTAACAGTAATCCGGTTATTTCACGGCGGTTCAGTTTAATGTGGCAGGAAAGCCCGAAGTGATGCAGGTCTCAGACGTTTACCACTTTGGTGAAACCCACGAGCACCGGTATGGTACTGACAGACCAGGAAACAGAATCGGGACGAACCGGGATTCGAACCCACGATCATAGGTTTCTGGTGTGCCAAAGGGCCGCAACTCTGAACAACTTCACCCGTGCCCCCAGCCTACATAGACGTGTCTTCATTAATTACAACCTGTTGCACGATCCACTACTTGCTGGAAAGAAAGAATATGTCAGATCTAAATATGCCCTTTGCTTTGTAATCATGTGGGTGATATTTAATGGTTGTAGAAAATGACGTTCTGTAAACATGGAACGATTTGGTCTGCAGCTTCCACTGAGTGGCTTGCCTTGGCATCACCCAGGGTCTTTGTAACATTCCACAAGCAAAGTGTATGTACGGTGGCCCATAAGGGATATGGACTCTGTTTTTCAATATTTTGATATTTCACTTACTTTTATGGTAACCTTTTGCAAATTAACACAATTTGTCATACAAATATGTGATAAATCATGTATAAAAAAAACCGAAAAGGAAAATGAACTTTCAAGTAGCTATTGAATCGCTGTAATGTGAACCGAAAATGTCAAAAACTAAAATGGAAATGTCCAAAACAAAAACGAAAAGGTCAAAAACTAAAATGTAAATGTCAAAATAGTTTTCACCGCGGTGGAAATAGTTTTCTGTATTTTCATTTTAGTTTTTGACATTTTCGCTTTTGTATGGCTTTAGCACAAATACATGAGGTCACACGTGACGTTATGGAAAATATCGCTTACAGGTACATGTATGTGATATAATCCTTTTTGGAACTCGGTAACCTTGACCTTGCTAATATGTCTGCATGTACATATAATGTCAGCCTGACGCCGGAAGAGGGAGGGTCAATGCGGACGTGTGTGCAGACTATACATACGAAGTAATGAGCATCTACTTTAAATGTTTACGTCACGAGACGACTCTAAGTTCATCTTATTCCCTACCATTTATCAGAGTAGGGGAGATGAAATGGGTTTAGCGTCACGTTCAGGTTATTTCACCCAAACTGAGACGTGTATGCACGTGTATATGTGGCTGCTTGTACTTGTCCGGACAAATGCCGGTTTTATAGACTACGTGCGAGCACACTGCGATACCATGCTGCAGTTTAACATGGATACCCTACTCAGACATAGTATACTGACTCCGAGCCCACCATTTCTTTCTTGTCTCCTTAACAACAAGTACCATCTTTTTAACGTCTTCTGATATTGCGCGGCCGGGAATGAAAACAACAAACTTCGGCTCTCAAAGGCTGGACAAAGGCTCTATCCACTACACCACGGAGGCAGCTTACTGCCATGCATTAGTCACCTCTTATGACAAGCAGGGGTTGCTGGAGACCAGTTCTAACCCCGATCTTCACGGGCCTACAAAATACATTTATAATTCCGTCCTTCTTCAACAAAGGTATATTTACGCCAATCCCACACTTTACCAAAGAAGAATAAGACCTGCTACAGAATAACGTCGATATCTCACGCCAATAACGTCTATATTTGCACAGCGCGTAATTAAAATTTTCTTGTGTTTTGGTATATCATAATTTATCAAACGGGAAGAATAACGTTAAAATGTTAATGACGACATGATAGACCGTACACTATTGTCTGTTTCTTGTTTAACGCCCCACTCAGCAGCATTCCAGCTATAGGACGGCGGTCTGGAAATAACTGAGTCTGGTCCAGACAATCAAGTGATTGACATAATCGGCATCGATCTAAGCATTTGCAATACGATGATATGCATCAACAAAATCAGCGAGCATGACCACCCGATCCCGTTAGTCGCCACTTACAACAGTCGCTTGGGTTGCTGAAGACCTAATCTAAGCCGGACCTTCACGGCACATTGAAGCTGAAGGCACATGGAGGTCATGTAGACTGTTATCCTATGGGCGTCATGGACGTCAGATCCAGTGTTCTATGTCAGTATCAGGAACTACTACCCTGTGTTCACCGACCTCCTTACATCAGTGAAGCCATCAATGCATCCAAGCACCACCCCACCACCACCACCACCCCCACCACCACGCCCATCCTGACCATTCCCGGACCCCGGGTTACAATAGATCCCCAGTAGCCTGTGGTGTCGTAAGGCGGCGGGTGGTCAGGTTCGATCTGTGACTTTGTTCATAACATCAATCACTGGTTGTGTCTGGGCTCGATTTCAGTGGAACCGCGTTGTCTAACCTAGATGTGTCGAATTCCTGGTTATCTCTAACTCATTAAGGAGTTTTAAGTATCCAAATTCAGCACATATTTTCCTGATTTCTCGAACCCCGGATAACTCGAACTATATTTCAGGTCCCCACAAGTTCGACACAACAAGGTTCCACTGTAGAATTGTTTCACTCAGACCACCGTGATCAGCGGTTCCCGACGTAGTTGTTTCTGCTCCATGACGTCCCTGGAGACGTTGTTTAGCGTCTGATGATGTGGTGTGGGCAGTGATGGTGTGTTTTTTCAGGATTGCCCGGTGCTGTCTGGCAGATGGGAGGGGGAGACACCGCAGCGTTAATCAGTCAATAGATGCAGAAAGTAATGAACTAGCTCAGGAAAGATAGCGGGGAAATTGATGTAATGGAGATTTGTCTGTTTCTCATGGTCAAGTCCATCACAAGTACTGGGCACTGAAGATTAGCGTTTCTGTCTTAATGAGAAAGAACTGAGCTGGAAGAGTGATGTCGTCTGAATGTACTGTGGTCGACCAAAGGCTATTATGTGTCGTCTGAGTTTTAAGTTAGATTTAACAGAGGTTAACACATTCTCGTCGCACGATGTCGTCTGCCTGCATTGTAGGATACACAGCAATTGTGTTAGTCTTCTTAATGTTTACCCACATTTCGGTGCGTTGTTTGTTTGGTGCGTCATCACTGATAATGTTGACTGTAAACGTGTTAATTGTACACTAATCCAGATCTATGGCACTTCAATGGTTGTAGGGGACACTAACTGGTTTCATGTGATTGTAGGTAATCAGATTGAAATGTGTTGTCGTCTGCGACCGGTTCAGCTCGTGTCAACATCTTCAGACGTGGTCAGTGATTCCCGCCAAAAAGAAGTCCGTCACTATAGTATTATGTCGTCTGTATCTACGTCAAGGTCAAACAGGTCAGTCGTCAATATTCGCGGCGTGTTGTCACCTTGTCACTCACACCGGGTGTCAAACAAAGCAACTCGTTTCCTTTTTACTTGTTCGTTTTGTTGTGTAAAGAGAAATCGAAAATGATGCCATTTTCACAAAATTTAATATTCATGTATTTTTGTTTAACAGTTTTTAATTCATAGAGGTATGTTTGGGTATAACCCGTGTGTGACAAAATAGCGCATGTCAGTATTATAGCACCGATTCCAATGGCGTCTTATTTATCTTCTAACTACTAGAATAAAAAATGCGAGTTAAACAAACAAATCCATCCGTCAGCTTTTGGTCTTGATATCTGTCACGATAAGTCACGATGAAAAGTCACGACCATCTACTTAATTAAATTCACTAAGTTTGAACCATCATGACTACGTCACGCTAATGTTCTTGCAATTGAGCCAGGAATTTACATGCAATTCTGAACGTGCATTTTAAACACGTGAAACAGATGCAACTGTAATCATTAAGCAAACGTATACAGAAATTATACATCAACCATAACGCGGTTTAAGGAACAGAAATCACTCGAATATGTTGATTCCGGTAGTAGAACCAACTTTTTGAATCAACAGATCCTCGTGATTTCTCTATTGCATGCAATGCCATTCAACCTTTGAACCAGAGCTTCGTTAAACATCCAGACCCTATAGAAAAGATCAAGTACAGTATGGCCTCCTGATGGGAAGCGCCATTTGCTATCGATACTACAGCTTGTTAAGAATTCAAGAATTCGCATTTTCTCCCTACGACGAAGAGATATTCACATAACGTCCTCCAGGCAAAACCAATCCTCCATTCGAGGTATAAATATCAACAAACACCACCCAGCATCAAACACAAACGTGCCTGTTTCTAAGGAGCCCTACATCGCGTGGTCATCAACAGAAACACAGTTCCGTACTGACCCCTGCGACCTTCTGGTGTCTGGCACGTGCACCTTTAAACCACATAATTAGCCGCTGGTTCCAAATAGCTAAATCCGCCCTCCGCCCTCAATGTTTGAGCAGTTCTTCCTGTAGGAGATGTGTATAGCGTTACGTGATATCTGATACCATACTCTGATGTCACTATGACGTCATACAAATTGTTTGACGTCATTACGATTAACTAGAAGCATATACATTTCATACAAATACATGTCAGGTAATAGCAACACTAGTCATGAATCTGGAAGATAATTTGCCAAGCAGTTATGTATTCCGAGAAAACTGTGCTATTCTGTCGCATCCCAAATGAAGACGTAACTAACCGACCATTTGATATTCTTGCAGGGATTCTGTTAATACTCAAAACGAAATATCAAACAAAACAAATTGTTCGTTGGATGCCCTGAAAGTCATGTGTTAAATAACATATTGTTGGCTTCTATCACTGTAAGAAGTTGTATGTTTGGACTGGTTAGGCTGAAAAATATTGTATTTCCATCAAAAATTCTAATGCCCCCTCTAATCCCCGACCACACACTCAAAATACTGAACGGTCGGTCAGATGTACAGAATTCTTTATCAAATATACATTGTCAAAGTGAAATATTAAATTAGCATATATATGTTCTATGAGTGAGTGAGTGAGTGAGTGAGTGAGTGAGTGAGTATGGTTTTACGTCGCTTTTAGCAATATTCCAGCAATATCACGGCGGGGAACACCAGAAATGGGCTTCACACATTGTAACCATGTCGGGAATCGAACCCGGGTCTTCGGCGTGACAAGCGAACGCTTTAACCACTAGGCTACCCGACCGCCCCATATGTTCTATGAACTTAAAGTAACACATTGGCATACCGGTTACAGAGACGCTAAGAGGTTAATGCATACGTTCATACTTACACATACATAGCATATTGGATGTAAAAATATCTGGTATTAGACTTGCCCAAGTCTCTAAGGCAATAATTATTAGTTTAATCATAATTTCTTGATTATATAAATAATAAAGATTACTTATTTATTTATTTTATTTTACATATGATGTTTATCTTTTGTGGTATTATACGCTCTATGTCTCAGAACGTCATAAACCCAAGTCTTCTTGGAACAGGAGGCTGAAAAACATATTATCAACAGTTATCTCTCGGACACACAATTCAAGTTAACTTGTTTTGGTGTACCCAAACTTACGAGTTTCCGGGTTATCACATGACAGCTAACACTACGGTTATAACGAACTCAAAGGGACACCTAATTTTAGTTCGTCATATCCATAGTTCGTTATAAACATGAATACAACATATATACAGCAAATGGTTAGCACAAAAATACAGCTTCTTTTATCCACCAGTTCGTTATAAACGTGTTCGTTATAAACGTAGTTTACTGTAGAAGAATTCTATGTATACTAGCCACATAAAGAAACTGTGCACGGAGAAAATATAGATATAAGGGCACACCGTCAATATATGAAAGATAGGTTTGAACACAGCAATATTTTAGACATTCAAACGCTCATGCACGTGCCATGCGATATGACGTCATTGATGGGGGCCTATGGACGTGCAATGTGTTACTGCACGTGCACCCTGTGCAGCTGTACACAGCATGTGCAACTCAAAATTCGCTGTCACTTTGGAAAGCATGATCTGTGGTCATTCAAAAATTCAAAACTTCTCAGGCGCAGACACAAGCATATCACAAGCAAATCATGCCAAGATTGACAGCTGCACAGCGTCATGAAGCCATTGGAATGATCCGAGCGGGAATGAGGCAACAACAGGTGGCAACACATTTCCAATGCCATCGTAACACGATATCGGCATTGGTGAGGCGTTATCAGAACACAAATGACGTTGTCGACCACCCAGGTTCAGGACGTCCCCGAGTAACGACGCCAAGACAGGACAGATGGATTCGAGTTACACATCTCCGACACAGGTTCCAAACGGCAGTAACGACGTCCCAGACAATTCCTGGACTGCGCCGTATCCATCCCAACACTGTCAGGCATCGTTTACGTCAGTACGGGATTCGACCACGACGCCCTGCCATACGTCCCATCCTGACACACCGTCATCGAGTCAACCGTCTAATATGGTGTCGAAATCATGTTCGCCAACCTCGAATATGGTGGAGAAATGTTGTCTTTACAGATGAATCGAGGTTCAACATTTCCCACAGTGACGGGCGCCAACGTGTCTACCGGCGTTTGGGAGAACGTTATGCACGCAACTGTATTGTGGAGAGGAATCGTTTTGGAGGTGGCTCTGTGATGATTTGGGGTGGGATAACAGCACGGCACCGAACCCCTTTGGTGGTTGTTCAGGGCAATCTCACCGGTGTTGGCTACAGAGATCAGATTCTGAGGCCTTTGGTCATTCCTTTCCTGCAACGTCATGGCCCGGGATTGACATTTCAACAGGACAACGCTCGTCCTCACACGGCTAGGGTCGCAATGGATTTCCTTCACCATAACAATGTCATGTTACTGCCATGGCCTGCAATTTCTCCAGATCTATCCCCAATAGAGCATGTGTTGGATGAAATGGAGCGCCGTCTGCGTCGTCTTCGACATCCTCCAGATAACGTCCGTGACTTGGCACAGGATTTGAGGAGGATATGGCAGGCCATTCCCCAGGCCTTCCATGCCCATTTGGTGGACTCCATGCGTCGCCGATGCACTGCTGTGATTCACGCACAGGGTGGTCATACCCGTTATTGACTTTGTGACTTTGTCGTTTGACCCCCTACTCCATTTTGATCTTCTGACGTCATCGTAACAGATGTTGTTCAGGTCCCGTTGACATTTTCTTATGGTCCGATCATTCAGCTGCTACAGCGTCTGCATCATTTTGTTCTTGCTGTGTTGTATTTCAATCCAGAATATATTTTCTCCGTGCACAGTTTCTTTATGTGGCTAGTATACATAAACGCGGACTTTGGTCAATAGTACAACATTTTACTCATCTGTTAACTCAGGTGTTAATTTATATCTTCCATACGCCAAGTATTTATTACCAGTGAACCTGTTTCATGTTTCCGCCAGTGTTCCGTTCCATCCAGGGTGTCTGACTCTCTGGCCTTACTGGACGTGCTGCAGGTCATACATTACACTTGTTTCTTGTTTTACGCCGCATTCTCCAATATTCCAGCTATATGACGGCGGTCTGTAATTAATCGAGTCTGGACCAGACAGTCCAGTGATTTACATCATGACCATCGATCTACACATTTGGGATACGATGCCATGCATCAACCAAGTCAGCGAGCCTGACCACCCGGTCCCGCTAGTCGCCTCTAACATGCATAGTCGGCTTATAGGGAAGCATTGGTTAGTGAAGACCTATTCTACCCCGGATCTTCACGGGGCTCAAACTTTACACGTGGGGAAGACACCGAACAAACAGCGTTCAAGGCTTCAGGTTGACAAGGGCTAGGATGAGTGAGTAAATGACAATGGTTTTACTGCTTTTAGCAATATTCCAGCAATATCACAGCGGGGGACACCAGAAATGGGCTTCACATATTGTTCCCATGTAGGGAATCGAACCCGGGCCTTCAGCATGCTTCACAAGGCTGCTGAATATCGCAAAACACTGATTGTGTAACGTTTCCTGATAACCTCAACTTATTATAATGCAACCATCTCACCTCGTAGTTCGCTCCCTTGCAGCTAGGGGGCGGGGTAAACACATCCGGGTTCTTGATACCTAACGTCGTGTTGACGAAGGCAGAGTTTGAGAACACATACTCTGCAAAAAAACCAAATAAGACGTTAAATTAAAAGATTAAACCGAAAAATTCTTAAAATCTCTTCTACGAGTCCATCGTACGCCCATATGCATATGTTTATGAATCACTATCAAAGAGTGGTGACACCAGGTGTTCGCGAAAAGGTGAGCGTATCCTGCCCCACCGGTAGCACCCGCCACACACACAGGCATACTATTAGGCAAGTGAATTGTTCACTTGAAATAAACACGGGATCATATATGGAAAATCAAAATTGGGAATTGCATCATTTTTATCACTTATGCGTCAACAGTTCAAAGTTTTGGCGGGTCATGTTTTCTGTAAACTTCGTGCCAATCACCTCCGTCAAACTGTGAACTGTGAGTCATTGGTAAACATATACACATAGAGCTAATTGTTGGTTCTGCTATTTACGGTAAGTGTCATAACTGTACTTGTTGACCTTTGATCCAAGCGTCTACGACGCCCTACAGGTCGAAGAAGCCCACTTCATTGAGTATCGAGTGGCCACAATGGCGTCTCGGCATGGCTTCTATCGGGAATACACATGTTAAGCCGTGGGCTTGATTACGGGTTAAACCAGTTGTTATTGAGTAGTATTGAATTTAAACAGAAAGGCATGGCAATGAATTTGACGTTTAATGTGTAAGAAAACAAATAACCTTGACAAAATATATTATACAACGGCACGAAGAAATGCACGAATGCATTAACACGCGTTCTAAAAGCCTAGAGCTTCAATAATTATTTTAAAGAAATGTTTTCATAGTCTCAAGATACCTCTAAAGTTTCGTTTATAATTTGACTTCTGAGCCACTACAAGGTAGAAATTGTATAGTCTACAGTGTCGTAGTCACCTCCGTCACGATCTCCGTAGATCGTCTCAAACACCGGCATGTGGTCGTACGTCGTCTGTAGGATGTAACTGATGCCGGCCTCGGAGCCCCGAAATTCTTGTATCCACACAGCGTTGTTGTAGTCGAGGCCGTATCTCGTCTTGTCCCAGCTGAAGTAGGCGTCCTCTGCCGTAATGAGGGTTTGAGGTCAGGTGAAATGGGGTTTAAACGTCGCGTTCAAGTTTACTGCATATTGCGACGTGCGTGCGTGAGTGTGTGTGGGGCTGCTTTTACTAGTTCGAGCAAATGCCGGCTTTATAGTGCAAGGCCACTGAGATGCCATGCCACAGTTTAACATGGACACCCCACTCAGACACAGTACACTGCGTCCGATCCGACCAGTCGTTTGATTCCCTTTTTGCCGAGCGCCAGGCCGGGAAACAAGAAGTACCATATTTTAACGTCGTTTAGTATAACGCGTGCGGAGATCCAACCACTGACCTTTCACTCTCCAGCCTTACGCTTGATGTGTGTGTGTGTGTGTGTGTGTGTGTGTGTGTGTGTGTGTGTGTGTGTGTGTCTTAACGGTGAGATTCGGCGTTATTACGCTCTGTTTATACAAGCATAGGAACTCACGGGGGATGCAGGCTTTTCTGAAAGTTTCATTCAGCAACACTCTTCTACAGGCGTTATTTTCAATGACATACAGCGTTTTCTGGAACAAAAACACATACGTGTACGTTGAGAATTAACTTTGATCAAGATACTTATTTAGTTCACATGGGTGGCCCAGTCGTCCAAGGAATCGCAATTCGCTGTGCAGAGTTGCGTCCCTTGGGCATGCCAGAAACCTTTGATCGTGGGTTCAAATCCCGGTTCGCCCCGATTATGTTTCTAGGTTTGTCAGCACCATACCTGTGCTCGTGGGTTTCACCGAAGTGGTAAACGTCCGAGACCTGCATCACTTCGGGCTTTCCTCCCACATTAAGCTGACATGCCGTGATATAACTGTAATACTGTTGGCGTTAAACCCAACTCATTTACTCAGTTGATCTAAGCATTAAAGTTTCAGAAACTGCACATCCTATTAAGTCGGATAGGATGGAGGTTGGCATGTGTATCCTACGCTTACTAAAGTAACGTCATCCACAATGAAACTTGCAGTCACTATAAACTGACCAAGACCTCACCTGTGTGTAATCATAGATCTTCTTGACTTCAGGAGAATCTCCGTCTTGGAGTTGTGTGGTCGCTATTCTCGAGTGGTTCAAGTCGTACGATATCTTCAAGGTGCTCTGGGGTTAGAAAACAACAGACCCTGGAGGCGTGTGGCAGTCTGTGCAGTGCGACTTTGTTTAAATATCAGTTCCTGGTTTGTTTGTCCGCACTCGACTATTTAAGCCTCTATTGTCACTGGAATAGTGCTGAGTGCTGAGTTAAACAACACAAACAAACAAATAGTTTGTATAGGTTTGTGTAAAAAGGCCAGTGATAAGATCGATAAGGCGGACTGTGAATTGTAAGATATTTTATCCCGCCTATCTAGTAATGCACTTCTCACCTAATTTATTAGATTTATGAACATGTTTGATACTGTGGTAATAACAATCGCCACTTATGTTTTTTATTTGTTTTTTTGTTTTTTTCTGTCTTTGAGCTTATTTTTGTGGGTTAGTGAGTAGGTATAGTTTTACGCCCCGTTTAGCAACATTCCAGCAATGTCACAGCGGGGACACCAGAAATAGGCTTCGCACATGTGGGGAATCGAACCCGAGCCATGGCGTGATCATGACGCGCAAACGCTTAAACCACTAGGCTACCAAACCGCCCCTGTTTGCTGATGACTTTGCTGTGGGATAGTGCGAAAGTCGAGTTGTTGGCCAGTCTGAACAGCTACCGACTTTACTCTAATCCGTGATCGTTATCATTTAGAGATCGAGACGAGTCAGAGAAGGCACCCAGTGACCAGTTATCTTTGGGGCTGCTATTCGCCATGCAGAGTTGCGTCCCTTAGCTGTACAAGGACCCGTTATTTCCGGACACCATTGCCAGATTCGCCCCGATCAAGAACCAAGGTCTGCCAGCACCATACCCGTTCGGTTTAACTAAAGTGGTAAATATCTATAAAATGCATCGTTTCCTCACACTTTAATCTGAGACGTAATTTAACAATTTACAGTTCAAAGTAGTGTTAAACCAATATCAACACATTCTCTGAATGAGATTCTACAAATGTCTTAGAAGACGTCATAGCGTAATGTTTACTTTAGCCGACTATGTTCTCCTGTGAGAACGTCTTTGTAAAGACACATGTACCAGCAATACCGCGAACGACTGACATAATCACAACAACGTCTCGCCTACCGCTTCCATGTGGGGAATGTCATCCTTGAAAACTCCTCGCAGTGTTCCCTGAAGCGCCTCCCACTGAGGTGGGGAGCACCAGTCAAACGGTAATCTGCACGTGCTTGCTGTCACCATGCACGTGACGAGGAGGGATCTGAGGAATGACATGATTCACGGACTGAGAATTGTCTGTGAATATGACATTGGAAACAGGTTCCCTTATCTAATCAGGCGTGTCAAGGACAGTAGCGTGAAGCTTGGAGCGAGTATTTCAGTATTTGGTGGTAATGTAAGGAGAAGATAAGTTCAATATATCAGAAAACATATGTGGAATGTTATGCATGTGTGGAGCCTTTTAAACTTTTAAATTTTAACTGAAAAATGCGATTTTCTTCTATTACCTACTTGAATGTGTGTCTACTGTCTATAATTGGAAGGTCTCGCGTGTGTGCAGGGTCACAATAACAGCGTGCTTTCTGAAATATCCTTAAATCGTTAGCATCTTGTCAGATAAAAATATGCGACAATTAGAACATGGTATTTAATATGGAATCCTAGAAAGGACAACATTTACCCAGAGACCATGGACCGATACTAGTATATGGTCTCTGATTAACCAAAGTGCGTCAACGTGACATTCTAGCCTTTGGCAGGATTCCATAGTTTCACCCCTTATTGGTTGACGAATTGAGAAGCCGGCGTCCTGAACGGTGGCTGCAGGCCAAGGTTGGGTATTTAGTTTGTTTGTTTGTTGTTCAAAGCCGCACTCATCAATATTCAAGCTACATGTATATGACGGTGGCCTGTAAATACTCGAGTCTGGACAAGACAATCCAGTGATTGAGCATAGATCTACGCATCTACGATGACATACATCAATCAAGTCAGCGAGCCTGACCACCCGATCCCGTTAGTCGCCTCTAACGACAAGCATAGTAACCTTTTACGGCAATCATGGGTTGCTGATTCTTACTCGGATATTCACGGGTATGCAGGCTAGTGAATATGTAAGAGAAACAACTGAGACGTTTGCGATTTTAAATGGCGTGCTATTGAAACAAAATCAAAAAGCTCAAGTCATAAGCGTGAGATTTTGTAGATGCAACATTATAGAAATTCTTCAAAATACATACCGTTACATTACTAACGGTGACACTGACAATCAGTATGAGTCGAATGGTTTGGAATGTAGGTGTTTAACCCAGCTATCAGGGAGGTGGAGGTTTAATTCTGTCAACACTGTAGGTGTTTAACCCAGCTACCAGTGAGGGTGGGGATGTGACATGACAATCAGTAAGAGTCGAATGGTTAATGTGTGCCAGCTGTGGCGGGGTAGCTCAGTGGGTACAGTGTCAACTTCACTGACGCAGGTTCAGTTCCCAATTTCGTGACTTACACAGATTACAAATGAACAGGAAGAAAGAAATAACATAAGAATGGTGTGAACTAGATGAAAGAGGTCTTGGTCAGATCCACTTCCTTCAGTCAATGAAAGGGGTTTGTTATTTTCTATGCAGACGTTCATAGGTGCTTCACAGACACAGACAGACACATACAGACATACAAACAGGCCGACAGACACAGACATACAGACAGACACATACAGACAGACACATACATACAGACATATACATACAGACAGACACAGACATACAGACAGACAAACAGGCAATCAGACACATACATACAGACAGACACAGACAGACATGGACAGACACCGACATACAGACAGACACCGACATTCAGACAGACACATACAGACAGACATACAGACGGACACAGACAGACATACAGACAGACAAATACAGATAGACACAGACAGACACATACATACAGACAGACAGGCACATACAGACAGAAAGACAGACACGGAGAGACAGAAAATCACACTAACACAGATAGTCACACGCAGACAAGCATCCCTGTTCTACAATCGTCACGCGAAGTGTGTCCCAAGCCAGTTGTCAGTAGTTGTCTGCCGACTATGTGAAAAAATCCCTCACAAAATATATCTGCTTCTGATTCCAGGATTGACGTCATATGGATTATATCTAATCTCTTCGAAAGCATGTGTCTGAGTTTGAAACAAATTACTTCATCAGTAGAAGCTATCAGGTCATATGATCGATGGGCTGTTTTCTTAACCAGGATCTTAACATGAGAAAGAGCAGTTAAATAATTCTGTGACGCCTTAAGCATTATATGTTTTCAGTGTATTTCATTTATACATATATCATTGTGTCACATGTGCATTATAATAAGATTTCATGTGGCATTAATGACAAATTTACTCCCAATTGATGTCAAGGACGTGTTGTTTTCAACCGCCAGAAAAATCCATAGTTAATTGAAATAACAAACAGGATAGCGTTACAGTGAGGTGCGTCATGTAAACTATACTGCCGGGCAAGAGAGGGTTCCACTTGAAAGTTGTATTTGACCAAAACATTACAAACGTTGTTAAGCTAAAAACAGTCGCCGAAACACTGCAAACATAACGTCCAAAACACAAGTATCATACCCGTATCAAATACGTCACCATCGGGAACCATTTTTTGTTTGTTTCATTGTTAGCCACCATCGAACATGGGTCTATACTTTGGCCCGGTACTTTACAGCAACACTGTGATTGATGGAAGGTAAAGAGATATCATTCCATAACTTGTCAGACGACGAAGATGGTCTGAACTACAAACTCACTCACTTAACCACAACCTGTGTTGGAAGAAACATATTTGAGTGAGTTGGGTTTAATGCCGCTTTATCAGTAATGCAGATTTATCAGCTTGATGACGAGGAAAGTTCAAACTGTTGCAGATCTTGGACAGTTGCCACTTTGATGAAATTTAAAGAGCACAGGCATAGCCCTGTCAAACCAAGAATCTGGGATTCAAACCAGCAGTAAGTGGCGGGGCGCTACACCGCTGTGCCACCCAGGTCCCCTGATTGATTGAGAGTCTGCAACTAAGGATTGAAATCCAAGACTCAACATGCAGGGACAAACATGGGGACTTCAGGCCGTTATGTACCGGAATCGTATGTTTGTTTGTTGTTTAACCCTTGGTAATAAGCTTTATCAACCCCTGGTTTGTTTTTGTTTGTTTCTTGTTTAACACCGCACTCAGCATTATTCCAGCTGTATGACGGCGGTCTGTTAATGATCGAGTCTAGACCTGACAATCCACTGATTGATATCATGAGCAACGACCTACGCAATTGGGATACGATGACATGCATCAACCAAGTCAACGAACCTGACCGTAATTCGCCTCTTACGACAAGCATGGGTTGTTAAAGACCAATTCTAATCCGGTTCTTCACGGGTGTACGGGATCGCCGCGGTGAGACATCAATAGGTAACTAAAATATGTTCTGTCCCGAGATCGCCATGGAGACCTCTGTACATACGCCATGATGATATAAACACGGTGCAATAGCGAGGACGGAGCGGGTCAGGGAGTACTCTTATGACACTAGTTGTAAATAAAGACAAAACAAGCCGACATGATGTATGGTTCAAGCGATGACTCATTACCCACTTTCACTAACTTCTCATATCTGCATGGAGGCGTTTGGCATGATCTGATAAACCTTCTACCGCTTGAAAACATCTCCTGATGACGACACTCAGATGTGCACAATTTGGTAATGTCATCATCGGAACCGTCGGTTTTAATCTCAAGACATAATGAGCTGGAAACATTAGCAGCATATCTATTTAAGTGAAATTTTAAACGAATATCTATGATGTTGTCAAAAAGAATGATAAGTTTTTTCCGTCTTCTCTGTTGTGGGAAGTGCGCGACGCCAGACTGGTGGGACCCTTAGACTGGTGTTGTACAACTCTCCCAGTTGATAATGCCTCATCCAAAACTCATTACAGACATCCGAAGCCAGAAGATGGTGTTTTCATTTCTACCATCCACAGTTCACAGCAACCACACTAAGAAAATAACTCAAATGATAGCAAAGAAGTTTGAAAACTTGCTAAATGATTATTCAAGAAATGTGTGCTCACATCCTAGAAAGCACCGTAAAGATTCCGGGTCAAAATAGATCTTCAGTAACCCATGCCTGTCGTAAGAGGCGACCAACGGGATCGAGTGGTCAGGCTCGCTGACTTGGTTGATGCATATCATCGCATCCCATTTGCGCAGATCGATGTTCATGATGTCAGTCATTGGATTGTCTGGTCCAGTCTCGAGTATTTACAGGCCGTCGTCATATAGCTTGACTTTTGCTGAATGCTGCGTTAAACAACAAAAGCTAAAACATTTTTTTAAAACTCAAAACACCCGGCATGGCCAGCGAACGATTTTGTTTTTGGTAAAACATGATAACTTATTTTTCAGGGATTTCCGAGAACAGATTAATCTATTTTAAATAACATTCCTTATTACCCAGGAGTGATGTGTAGCCTAGTGGTAAGAGTGTTCGCTGGTCACGTAGAAGACCCGGGTTCGATTCACCTCATGATTACAATTTGCGAAGCCCATTTCCGGTGTCCTCCGTCGAGATTTTGATGGAATATTGCTAAAAGCGGCGTAAAACCATACTCATTCACTCCTAATTACTCCTGGTGTCAGTCTGCTTACCCACACCATTGGGGAAACCGTGCATCTGTTAAGTAAATATTTCAATATCGAAACAGAAAAACACAATCACCAATATTTTACTGATATAGCATATGTCACAATAAATAAAACAAATAAAACCAATATCATATGTCAGAAAAATGAAATAGATTCTCTAAACAGATATTGAGAAATATCCAATAACCTCGGTATGACGTCAAACAATTTACATGACGTCACGGTTGGTGTCATATTCTGCTATTACATATCAGTCAAAAATGATTCGCTCTTGGTTGCATCTCATCTGTACGAAACATGACTGAACTAATTAAGGCGGATGTGCGGCTCTGAAACATGGACGTCTTCAGCTAATGATATGATTTAAACATGCCCATGCTGGAACTTGCACGTGCCAGATGTTCTTGAGTTCAAGGTCACGACCCGGGCAGGATTCCGTTGATGCACCGAGGTTTGTTGTTTTAGGTGGAGCGTGTTTGTTGATGTGAGTGGATCGAACACCCTTGCATAGAGAGCATCTGTCTGGATATAACACTATCTCCTTAAAGTCTTTATGAAAACAGGTGTTTATACACACAAATAGTTTGTCCAATGGAACATCGTGATTTGATCGCGTAGAT